CTTACCAGTCGGTCACAGCCTCATGGCAATATACAGATCAATAGAAACAGGTTAATTTAAGATATAAGAATTATCTAGAAATAAGTCTAAACTGGTGTGAGAGGTCCTTCTGTCTATGTAACTCAACAGGTGACCAGCAATCTATATGTTTGTGCTGTGTACCCATAGTGCTTTATTACAAGCACCATAGACATGGTTGCCTAGATTTTTTTACATGAACATTGGGGATATAAACATGGATACTCATAGTTAGTGTGGTCATTTCCTAGACCATTAGAGGTATTTTTAATTTTGGTTTTTCCTTAGATTTTAGGGCATTATTTATCTAGGTTTAATTTTAATTATGTGATTGATTTATTGGTTGGTTGGTTGATTGGTTGGTTAGTTGATTGATTGATTTGTTGAGACAGGGTCTCACTATGCATCTCTATTTGCCCTGACCCTTTGTAGACCAGGCTGGCCTCAAACTCACAGAGGTCTGCTTGCCTCTGCCTCCTGAGTGCTGAAGTTAAAGGTTTGCATTTAAAGCATTTTCCCCCTTGCTTGAAAAGAACAACACTTCTGAAGGCGTTGATCTTTTTTTGTCCCCAAAGAGCCAGTTCTTAATGTCTGGAGACTTCTTGCACTGACGTAAGTGGGAAGGGGCAATAGTATTTAGTGGGTGGAGACCAGAGAGGCTGTTAACTCTCTTCTATTGTATAGCACAATCCTCTGTCACAATGAATGAGCCTTCTTTATTTGGTGACAATGCCAATGTTATGAATTTGTGAAATAGGAAGTCATTAAAGTACCTTAATCCTGGAGATCATATTAACAGTACAACAGGAATTTAAACTATTAGAAAGCCAGTCAGACTGCTTCTTTCTGGCTAAACTTCATACATTACACATAGGCAAATATTTGTGGTATAAGTATATTAACAAAGAGGCAAGATGCAGACATTTAATACCACTGCACTTGTTTAGATTTTATATATATAAATATATAATATATACATATTATATATATACATATATATACATACACACACACATAGTGTGTGTGTGTGTGTGTGTGTGTGTGTGTGTGTGTGTTTTGAAAAGACGCAGGCAAGCCATCGACCATTTCTGTACATCAACATATCTCTGTAGAGTATAGGAAGTATTCATGGAATTACATGCATCCTCTTCTTCAGAATGTATGCACATAAGCAAACAGTCCAAATACCTTTGAACTCCTTCTAGGATATGGGACACATTAAGATGGATTTGGTAGGAAATACATATGGCCGCTTTATTATACTATGAAATTACTGCTCATTCCTATGAAACAATAAAATTTGTGGAAAAGGCCCCTTTATAATTTTTTAGTCATAAATGATAGATTTTTATATGCCCCAGGCAGTAATATTACTGATAAATTTACACCATACATCACTTTAGCTTAAACTTTTTTTCCTCTATTAAGGCAACTGATTCGAGTCAAACCACATGCTGTGCGGGTTGCTTAGGGAAGTCTCTGGTGCATAGAAAGAATAATTGTTCCTACTTAATGGGGTTACAGGAGAGAATGTGGCCCTGAATCGCACGACATACACAGTATAATGAAAACCCTCTGCTTGAGCCTCCAAAGGCTATGCTAAGAACATCGCAGTTTTGTGGATTTTCTCTTGTTAAAAGAAAAAATAGTTGAAACCTCTAAGAGAAGAGGTGGATGATAAAGTTTCAAATGTTCCTAAAGTAGGATATTTCATTGACAATTAGCAAAGAAAACATCTTGGTCCTTTGGGAAATGAGTAGAGAGAAGCCCGGGGATTGGTTTCAAAGTATTTCTCAGATATATTGCATAGAATGTTTCTGTGTTTGCAAGCTAAACCACACATCTAGACTCTACATCTTTTCTAGAAAATTAAAATATAATGACATCATCTCCCTCCATTCTTCCCTCTCTAACATCTCCCATGCCACCCCTCTCAAACTCATGGTTTCTCTTTCTTTATTATTGTTGCATATTTATCTGTTCATAAATATATAAATACAATCCTCAGGTACATTTGTGGCTACCTGTATATATGTGATCTCAGGGCTGACAGAGTTGACTGTTACACTGGCCTCCCAAGTGTCTTTGGCTCACAGTCTCCTTTCTAACTGGCCCACTCTTCAGAACGTCATCTGCTTGTGTCAAATGAACAGATCTGGAAATGTTTCTCCCTGACCCCCAGATCTTCATTCCTTGTAATGTGACCTAGCTTCTCTCTTACTGCCTGCTCTTCATTCTTGCCAGCCACAGTCTCCTGCCCCATGTTTCAACACACAGGTCTTCCTTTCCTCTACAAAGGCTCTAATCTCTTAGGCTTTGTATCTTGACATTTTTTTCTCTAGCTAGATAATGTCAAATGATCAGACAACGCCAAATCCTTAAAAACACTTTCTAATCTCCCTTTGACGTCACTTTACTGGCTTCCTAAAATTGAATAGTTATCTTCTCATTAACCATCATGTCTGTAGCAGCAGAGAAACAATTTTTCATAAATTTGAAAATTAATAGAGAATCCTGATACTTCTCATCACAAAGAACAAATATTAGAGAAGTGATTAGTACTCTGATTTGGTCATTATTCTTGTGTTAAATTTGTGTGCTTTATCTCCCATATACACATATCATAGGTCATTAAAACAGTCAAATCATGTATAAAACAAATATATAAAATATACTCCTCTATAATTGGAAGTAGAACATTTGTTTCTGGCATGAGAGTTGAATTCATCATGGAAGGTTGAAGAACAAGGCAGAGAGGAAGCAGCAAACATGGTTCTGAAAGGTGTCTGGAGTGATGAATATCTTCACTATATATTGGTGATAGTTTCATGGATACAAACATGTCAAATTTATTAAGTTGTGTTTAATAAATATATGAAACTCATTTTAAGACCCTAAAATTTTCAATAAGTATTTGTTGAGAAGTAAACAGATTTCACTGATTTGCCATGTAAAGATATTTTACAAGACAGATTTCATCCGACTCTAGCAGTATAAACATACATGTTTATCAAAATTATTGGTAGCATATGCTTTCTTCTTATAATAGCTGACAGAATTAGATTTGAAATGATATAAACAGAACACTATTACTCATTTTCAATTGTCTTTTATGTTCTCCATGAATCGAATAAATGATGGTTTGATTTAATATTTCTATTGAATAAGATGCAATAAGAAGGAAAACTGAACCAAGCTTGATTCTACTAGGATTACTATATGATCGCTGCTCTCAGCAAGTAATTTAACCTTGTTGAATAAGACTATGTTGTTTCTTAAAGTGATGTAGCTAATGTACCGTGAGTAGACCAGTAAGTATGGTGGAGCGCTTATAAAATTACTTAGAAAAAGTGTTAAAGGTGGTGACATGTTATCACAGCATCTCCCTTGATTTTAAAACAACAAAGTCAATGATATAGTCAACAAACAATTGTCAGGAAGTACCAGGTAGAAGTGAGATACAGTTCAAGAAGCTGGTGTCCAAATGCTCTGTCTGGAGACCTCAAAAGGACTGTGAAGGACATGTCATTGGAAGCAGCTCTTAAAAGGACAGATGCCATTCCAAGAAGTTGACATTGTGGCTTGGTGACCTTGCACGGTCATGAATGATATTAACAAAACAGACAATAGAAGGAGAAACTCAGTGAGTAGAGCATGGTCTTCAATATGTTTGATAAAATAATATTGGCAAATCTTTTAGCATAAAATACTGAATGAAAAGGATTGGCAGTCTTCCTTTCTGAAATAATTTTTGATAGTGCTGAAATGCATGAAAATGTTATTTTGTGAGTCATTCACGGAATCAAGAAATTTTCTGGCCACTGCTGAAAATTATTCTCTGGTAAAAAGAAAGTGCAAAACATCAAGACAAGACTTTAAAAATAGTCTAAGAATTTCTTTCTGTGATTAAACTCACCTTCATTCACCGTTTGGGCTTCACTGTGGAGGAGACTGCTGTAGTCTAACATTCCTAACAGTATGGGCATTGCAGTCATTGCTGGACTTAAAAAAGAAAGTTGGTTTGTTCAAGATCTTTGTATATTTGCATATGTAGTGAAAGCGAATTTCCATTCTCTGGGGCAAGCTTAAATGACACTTAAAACATTCCCAGTATGTGATGGGATCGAGTATCAAATAAATGAAATGATCGACTCAGTTGTCTGACCGAGTAGCTGTTGTGTCTTGTCTATCTGTTTATTTTTACCTACTATTTACAAAACTGCGACTTGTTTGTTGAACTGTTGACTTGTTTGTTGAGAATTGCCATAGATCTCTTCAGAGCTCTCTGTAAAAGGGGAGGGAAACAGGCAGCCAGCACATGCTCCGAGAAGCTTATCAGCTAAACCAGCAAAATTCGAACCTGCTGATGTCAGCTTTATTTACAGAGTGTTACTGTGTCAACAAAAGAAGTCACTAGGAGAATCACGTTTAAGAGTCTTTACCTCATCTGAATTCTTAATTTGTCACTTGAGTTTAGGAAAGGGCACCCAAGTGTAGTTCTGATTCCCATTAATGGGCTCCAGGAAGGGATTAGTTGACCCTCACTCAGTCTATCCAAAACAGACTAACCTCCAATCACACAAACTCCAAGCAAAGGTAAATACTGCATTCTGATTCAAATTAACTGAGACAGGAAAGACAATCGCGGGTTGTTTATTTAATGACAGCCTGAGCTTAGAGTTCCAATTATCAAAGAACAGAGAAGGATAGTTTGTTGAGAACTAAAGAGGAGATGCTACAAATTTGGTCCTTTTCTTTCTTTTCTTCACCTCTTCCTCTTCTTCTTCATGTTCTCTCGCTCTCGCTCTCTCTCTCTCTCCCTCCCTCCCTCTTTCTTCCCCCTCCTTTTCTTCGCCCTTCCTTCTTTCCTTTCTTTGTTTCTCTCTCTTCCTCCTTCCCCTCCCTCCTCCTCCTCCTTCTTCCTTTTTCTCTTCCTCTTCCTCTTCCTCCTCCTCCTCCTTCTTCTTCCTTTTTCTCTTCCTCTTCCTCCTCTTCCTTCTTCTTCCTTTTTCCCCTTCTTTCCATTTCCTAAATGCCTGCCACCTCTATCCATTCAATAAAATGTCACCCATTTCTAAAATGTGGGTAGGAGAAAAAGTCCAAAATGTTCAGATTTGCCTTGTGGATTTAATCATAGAGTGCTACTTGCAAAATAATCGTAAATAATTCTGTCATGAGATTTTGAAGTGTGCATATTTATAAAGTCACCTTGAGGAAATACATGCATCATACTAAAATAACATTTTGTTGGTTTTCACAGATACCAAGATATCTGATATCAAGTTACAGTTTTTTCTTTTTTCTTTTCCTCACCATTCTCTCAAAACTGCCCCTCTGTTTACATCCCCCAAAACCAAATAAAATTCAGGGGAAACTACAATGTTCTAACATGTAAAGTGTATTTTGAGAGGTCATTTTTAATGCTAGGGCACTTCTGGTAAGCTCCTTCAGACACCCTTTTCTGATTTAGTGTTAATTCAATTCCTTCATTTTCTATCTGAGAAACAAATGTCTGGCCATGTTCACAAGAATTAAACATTGCAGTCTACTCCACAGGCAAATTGAACTGCTAGTTTCTATAAGAGAAAAATATAATAAATCTACCAGTAATCTAATTGTGAAAGTCTGGCTATTTTTCAGATGTTATGCTTGCAATAAGAGATCATTTCATCTCTGTTTCACATTCTTATTTCATGTAAGTTCTTGAGCCTAAAGCAAAGAGCAGAGTTGTAAATGAAAATATTATTGAGTGAAAACAATTATCTTGGTGCTCTTCTCTCTTGCCTGGCACAGCAGGCGCTAAGCACAGCCCAAACTTGATGTGCTGACACCTGTAATCAGCACAAGTGGTTTCCTTTAAACTAACAAACCATTCTTCCCACTGGAAGTATAAACAAAACCCTAATTGGTGAGTTTGCTAACTCTTCTCCCTGCTGTGCTCTAGGGAGCATTTGGTGTTTAAACGGTAATGTCCACCACAACTTAGAATTGGCAAAGGACAAAAAATTAATTCTGTGCTTAAAGCCTGCACCGTTCAATGGCTTTCTAATTGCTAGCTCATTTCCATCGTCTCAAAAACCATATTTTAATTGAAAAGAGATAAACTGGCAACCAAGACAAAGAGAGCTGCTGTTGGGTCAGTCTCTGAGGTTTGGTTATTGTCTTTTGTGTGGACTTCTACACCATTCAGTTCTTTTCACGTTTTATTCCACACACTTAGGAGAAATGTCAATCTTAGTCCCAATTTGCTGAGGAAGAAAAGGAGGGCAAAAGTAGCTTATAAGACGAAGCCTATGAACCACTAAACCTGAAGATGAGATGTAGTCTCAGGCAATCTCTTGTCTGCTTTACCGTAAACAAAAATGCTACACAAATGAAAATTGACTAGTATCCCATTCACACAATTAAATTTGGTGTAATCTATGTACAAGTTTCTCCAGGCAGGCAACCTGAGTTATATGGATCTGCATGATAATCAAGTCCACAGTTTATAAGCTAAGGAGTAGCCTTGGTTAAAACAAAATAATTGGTTAGGGTAAGGAACTGGAATCTCTGTGTACAATAAATGAACACAAATAACAACATTTGTTTCTTCTGTGACTATCATCATATTCCAAGACCACATTTTCCCTGTCCCCTTCAGCAGCTAATACTCAAATCTAGATCTAGAATATTATAAATTAATCTCAAATAAATAAAACCTGATAAAAGTAAAATACAAATTAAAAGTAAAGAGGGTTCCATTTGGAAGTTAGGTCACAGAGTGTGGGTCCCAAACTTAGTCCACAGGTTAGAGACACATCCTAATCTAGATTCTCAGGTCTCCAGCAGCCAAAGTGGACATTCTCAATTGCTTTACTTATATCCAAAGATGAACATTAAATTCTTATCCAGAAACAGTGCAGTTATGACTAGAACAGGAAAGGGTTTTTCATGAGTAGTAATAAAGAAACATATTATGATTTAGGAGAAGTATATCAACACACAGCTCATCAGAGACACAGGATAAGTTTCATCTAACTATTTTTCATCCTTAGCCTACTAAAGAATAAACAGGTCATTGTGAATATACCATTACATGGCAGACAAAAGATAAAGAGGAAACCTGGTCAGGACAAATCTTCCTATAGAGTTATTATATTCATAAATATGTGTAGAGACATAGAAATAAACACAAGGACAAAACTACACTCAGATAGAACATGGTGATACTGACTCCTGGTTTTTATAGAACACTGTCCCCTACCTTGTAATCCAATGTCTTTTGATGTATGGTCTGCTTATTCTTCGCAATCATAGATGAAATCGCTGAATAACAATAGAACAAAGCATTATATGCCACAATTTCCCCAATGAATGTCTTTTTGTTGGACATATAGTCCATTTACAATTTTTACATGAAGTAGTGTTAGAGTGTAAATAGATGCTTTGCGGCAAAACATAGATATTTTAGCATAGTTTTGGGCATATTACTATGAATGAAATTTATGTCATTAGATTTAATCATGTTAAAGTTTTTGCTAAAAATATTATTTTAAGGACTACACTAGGCTTACCAAATATGAAAATGTTTTGCCTAATTAACCTATAAATCTCTAGTACATTTATACTTTCAAATAATTAGGTACAGAAATGCTTGCTATTACTACGATGCTTACCACTGGGGAACTTTCACTGGTTTAGGGATTGGCAGAAACCGTCCAGATCATGCATCTCATTTTCTGTATGAAGTAAACTTTATGTTTGTCACTGTTTGCCAGATAACCCATTTTCCTCTAATCTCTGAGAGAACTCATAGTTTTGTTGTACTACGGAGTTGAACACAGGGTCTTGGGAATTCAAGACAATTGCTCATCCAGCTAAGCACTCCCTATTCCTCCAAAAAGTACATAATATATTTTTGGTTTCAATAATATGTTTATGTTTACTTGTGTTTAAAAAGAATCAAAAAACTGTAAAATTATAATTACTGTCAATAAAATAAGTTTATATTTTACTATAAAATGTAACTTGATTTTTTTTTTGGTGGAGTAGAAGAGTGACTCAAGGAACCAGGGTGATTAAATCTTTGCCATTTTTGATAATTGCTTCTAAAACTGTACAAGTGTCCATATCGAGATTGTGATACTGTAAGAGATATCACTGAGAAAATGTTCCCTGGCTTGAATCTTAGAATGAAAGAAATCAATGTGTCTCAGAAGACTTTGAATCTGTAGAAATAGTGAAACACAGTAATGATCATGGAATGTAATTAAGGAGAACAATGGGAAGGGAGATTGAAAGTGTGGCATCTTCACTAGGTTGTGGGTGGTATGCCATCACCATGGTTGGATCGGAAGACTTGCCAAAACAAAACAAAACAAAAAGAGAAAAAGAAGAGTTTGCAATAAGTTGAATATGAGTGTCTTGACATGCAAGTTTATATGTCATATAATTATTTGGATGTAAATTTCAAGTACTTAAACCGCAGCCACTTGTATAAAACGTTAATGCAAGGACACATAGGTGGTATGACCGAAAGTTAATCAGACGTTTCTTAACTTCAGCTTTGCTGTGTTTAGGCCAAGGACTTTTTGCTGTTCGTGGCTTTCCTGTGCCTCGTGAAGGGTTTAGAATGTTCTGAGCTGCTCTCCATCAGATGTCAATGTCATTTCTCAAGTCATACCTGCCAGAAATGTCTCCAGACTTCATACCAGTCAGAAAGGCATCCAGTCCTTTTCCAACAAGCCATCTGAAAAATAAAATGATTCCCTGTGATGAGACATTATTTCAGTGTTAGTAACCAAGAAGAAACAGAGTAACAAGGGAAAAACATATAGCCATGCCGACACCAGAAACCTTAAATTTAATTTGCTCACAAAATATATGGTTCAGGGAATTTTCTTTAATTGGAATAATTGTCATGGGTATGAGGGGATAATGCAAACAAGAGCACATGTTTGCATGTGCTGTTGTGAGTCTAGTGCAAGGCAAAATCCAGAGGAGATGGAGAAAGGAATCAAGAAGAGTTAGAGATTTCAAAGTGGTGGAAGATGGGATCTTTCTAGAATTAAGAGATTTTTCAAAGGTATGAACTTCTAGCCAGTTCTAATTTGGAAGTTTCTTGTCTTAGTTCTAACCATACTTAATATTGCATGGGTGTGAGCAGGACTAAGGGCTGAACTTTTCTTTTCAGTAAAGAAGCAGATAGATTTATCTGTGACTTCAGTTTTAACGATGGCACAAACTGAACCAGAGTTCTTTGTCTTTGTCTCTGTCTTGTTATGGCTTTGTTTGTTAGGTTAAAAAAAAAAAAAAACCAAAACCAAAAACCAAAGAACAGTCTCACTCTTCATTCTAGGTTACCTGAACTCATGAATTTTTACTTGACCTCAGACAAGTATTAGCTACTAAGCCTGTTCAGCTGTCTGTGGACTGCTAATAAACTTCATGGTCTTCATAGAGAATTTAGTATCTGTAATGCTTCATAGAACATTAAGGGTTTGTTAAACAATTAATGTTGAAAATATTACTAGCTACTTAGTAATATTAACAGAATATTTAATGCATAGATTCATGTATTGTGTAAATTCAACTTTAATTATGTAAAATCCAGTTTGCATTGTTCACCCCATTATTTTGCCCATATGCAAAGTATTTATTTACATCATTGTTAAACAAAATGCTTCCTCCTTTTGAAAAATGTAAGTTTATAATTGTTTGCAAAAAAACTGGTTATTAAAATGCATGACTTTTTTTCTTCTTTTATTAAAATTATTTTCTTTATTTACAAATACTTAATTGTACAATGTCTTATGAGGAAGGTCCATTTAACCGGCAGTTACTGTGTTAGAACATGCTTGTGATGTATCAACTCAGTTTCTTTTCTGTACAGCGTTCATGTCTAATGTTAGCATAGAAAGCTATAATTTGCCTGCAATTGCAAACTCCTTTGAAAGTGAGAGTAAAAGCAGAAAGAAATAGAAATCTCTTTTAAAATTATTTAAAGATCTTTATTTCCCCCCTTAATGACCAGATATTAGTAAAATTCTGGTTTCTCAAAACCATGCCATTTAAAATTTCTCTGGCGGACAATGTTGCTTTGCTGCATTACATGTGGTTAAAGTTAGTCACATCCTTGATGTAACATAACACAAGCTGGCTAAGGTAATCCGATGTGACATATGACAGCGCTGTGAACCAGTCTGGAATATTTGAAAGTATGCCATCTCTCAAAGGCCGTGGGTAGATAGCATGGTAAACCAAAATGGGGAATTTTGGTGCTGCATTTTGAAGGACACTGTAGTATGGCTCTGTGACAATTAACAGTGATTTCCAACCTGGTAGATTGTAGGTTTTTAACTAAAGCATGTGTATTTTTCTTGCAAGTGAGTTTATATACTTCAGACCACTGAAGTTAAGTCATTGAAAAAGCAACCGCTAAAGAGCTGTGATTATACAATATTATAGGTACAAGAGAAAATTTCTCAGATAATTCAGAGATGAACTTAAACCACCTAGCAATGTCTAAATAGGTGGCATGCAGACCTGTGAGTCCCAGTTACATTTCATTTGCTAAAAGGGCTCAGTTTGAATCAAATGTCATTTTATTAGCATTAGAGGAAAAATAATCTAGAAACATGAGCAGTGAGGAAAAATCTAAGTATTCTACATATGTTGTTGGGTTCCTCTGTAAGAAAAAAAAGCCTTTCTCTCTTCAACCTAATTTATTGTGCAGGCTGTGGAGAATTTGAAAACCATGTTTTCTTCTAGGATTACTTCAAGATCAGCTCCTCTGGTTTTAAATTTGTTTCACATTTGTTTGGGCAGCAAATACTAGCACTAATAATTCTTGATGAACAGTGATGAGTTACAGAAATGAAAATAACCTGGACACTGAATTCGATAGGGGATGGAAAAGGAAATTGAACATAATATGTACATTTTAGAGTGGAAAGGTAGAACTGTATGACATGGTGAAGAATCAGCATAGCCGTTCTTCCCAACAGCTGGGATGTCCCATTGCCTTACTCTATTACACTCCCAGGGAGAGCTGTCTTATCTTCCCCTGTATGTCAAATGTTATAAAGTGTTTTGCAGAAATCTCAGATGAACTGAATTGGGATCAATGGCAAACAGCAATTCATTTTCTTACAAATTAAAGAAAAATGTGTCTATTATGTATATAATATATGGTATGAGGATTGATGTATGTGTGTAGTCTAATAATTGTTTCCAAATATAGTATGTTTTAAAATGATGCACGTGGGTGACCAAACTGCTGGAAAAATAGGAAATAGTTAGAAAATCCCTTCTATTTAATGATCTTAGGTAGGATAACGAAACTTTCCAATACATCTGTACCAAGTTCATAGGATTTTGTAATGTGCTTCTGTTTTCTCTTTTGAAGTATGAGAGTCCTATATTTTATTACAGATAGATTATTTTGTCCTATTTAACATAAAGAGAAACTGAAGGCTTGGTCTTATTGTAGTAAGTGGCTGAATTCTGACTATGATTCAGGCATTGGGGTTGGTGTCCACCACCATTATACACTACTCATAAAATCAGAGGTTCATTGAAGTCATGCAGGGCATATTGAATAATATTTAAGGTCAATTTAACAGTCAATGGGGGGTGAATATGTGTCACCCTGATGTTATCCTGAAGGCTGAAGTACTAGACAGGGGTTACATCTTAAGATCTGGTTGGTACTTGTATTAACTCAGGTTTGTAGGTAAATACATTGCAACATTTTACTTCTTAGTGTAGAATACCTTTTGCTGAAAGGTCTATGATCACTAATGAATCAAAAAGATTGGATCTGATCAAATGTAAGGTCTGTGGAGTAAACGACAAGCAAAAAGATCTAAATTGAGGGAAGCAAAGATTGAGAAAATTATGCCACTCACTGAATTGGCTTCAGAAAAACTGTCTGAACTTTCTTATGAAAGAAAGAAACTGGGGTTCTGTGTCTATTCAAGCTGTTTTCAGACAATCCTATGGAAACAGGGAATGGGATGCCAGGAGAATATGCTAATCTTGGCTGGAGCCTATCATTGCTGTTTTCCAGGGATCGTTGGCAGCCCCAGAAAGTTGGTAAAAGGGATTTTTACCCCATGATCGATAAGAAGTGAGGTCCACTGAGTTTATGTAACCTGTTCAAGGTCTTATAGCTAATGAATAGCAGGTAGATGTTTGAATCTAAAGGTGGAATTAAAAGTTTTCTGCGTCAGTAAAATATACAAGTGAATATATGAAAGAAATAGCACAGAATAAAAACATAAATGAAACTGAACTGATATTTGGCATGTACAAGGGCCTACCTGGAAGAGACATATGGTAAAGTTGAGTAATAGTTTTGTGGTTACTTTGGTGAATTAAGCGAGTGCGGAAATTCCTAGAGAGTGGTTTGGCATGTGTTTTAACCTCTTAAAACACCAGAAGGTAGAACCTAACATACCTGGCCAGACAATTCTGAATTAATTTCCCTGATGTCTAGTTTGCTGAATGTGTTACTTTGAATTGTATATTGAATCCTTTATGCAGTTCTCTGTAAAATGACTAATGATCATTGCTTACCTATATCCTGTGCATTACGGTGGAATGAAAGCATTGCCCAAAGTTATGTGGCTCACAAGTGGATCCATTCTTGCTTGACTCTTTCAGACCATCCAAGAGCATCCACTGCTCTATGCCTCTACTCCTTCATCCCTGGGCATTCTGGTCTCATAGAGAAGGAGAGAGAAAGAAAGAGAGAGAAAGATGGGAATCAATGGATGGATTTGAGAAGAGCAGTTGAAAAGGCTACCACATCACTTACTTATCTGTAGACATTCTAGGGGAAGTCACAGACCTGACTCTTTTGGAGTGGTGGGGGAACTCATCTCACTTCACAAAGAAGGAAAGAAAACAACAGGAAGCTATGAACTCCACAGGCCCCGCCCCCAGGATCATGGTAGTTCTTAGTGAGGAGATGAGAAAATGGAACTCTGGCACTTACCAACACATACTCTAGAAATTGAATTTCACCTTTATTCCCAATTTGAGATTAATAAACAATCTGAATAAAAAAGAATCCCGTGAAACGCCGAGGTAAGGTGTAGCAGTGATCGCTCAGCATTCATTTTGTCATTAACTTTTACTACAATTACAGAGGTGCTAATTACTAACGCACTGCCTTCTCCATTTGAGACCAGGCTTTGCAAGAATCAAAACTGCATTTAAAAATTATAGTAGGCAAAAAAACAGAAGTTAAAAACATCTTAGAAAGACTGTAGCTTCTCTTTTAATTTTAAATTTAAAAAGTATGACAAATGAAGACATGACTTTGTATAGTTTACTCTTATTTTCTTACGAGTTCCAAAAGTTATAGATATATTCCATATAGGATATTTTATAACTACTACAGAGGGGAACAGTCAATACAACAGAGGCACAAACTCTCTCCTCTCTCTCTCTCTCTCTCTCTCTCTCTCTCTCTCTCTCTCTC